TCGACCTCTATATGACATATTTGGGATTAAACATTTCCATTTTTCAAGTCTACCTTTAACTTTTTCAAGAGTTCCTTCCCAATTTTTTTGTACAATCACTTCATCTCCTAAAAAAACTTTACAATACGGGTGCATTAATAAGCATTAATTCATGCTTAACTAATGCACAAATAATACTGAATTAATGTGTAACTAATGATTATTTAAGCTATTCATTAATGATTACCACATTGATAACTGATTAAGAGTCTGTAGGTTTAATCTATTAGTTCATACATGAATTGTTATTAATTAAATATGTAATTGTGGGTTAATTCCATAATAACTAATTTTTTAACTAATAGTGTTAATTAATATGTTAATTACCAGAATGAGCCAAAGCCTTGTATTTCAACTTCCAGATAATATGACCGGTACACTAATATGCATTAATACATGATTAATTACTTCATTGTTACTGCAAATTCATGTGCAAATTACTAAAATTACTAAATGACTAGTTAATAATGATGTGCCGCAACAAGTAAAGTCATAACATAATGATACCTTTGCAAATCATTAGCTAATGATTAATTAAAGCAGACAACTGGAAGTTGAAGTGCATAGCTTTGACTAATTGTGGTAATTAACACATTAATTTACACTATTAGTTAATAAAATATGTTATTAAGGAATTAATACACAATGACACATTGAATTAATAGCAATTCATGTAATACTTCATCTATTAATTGTATAGACTCTTTATTAGGTGCTGATGCAGTAATCATTAATTAATGGTTTAGTTCTTCATTAGTTATACATTAACTCATGATTATCAGTGCATTAGTTAAGCATGAATTAATGTATATTAGTGCACCCGTATTGTAAAGTGTTACCGTATGTTTTTATGTCTCCATTGTTCAATCATGCCTCACACACACAGACATTATTGTTCTAATCAGATCAGGCAAGTAATATCCTGTCTTGTCCCTTAAAAAAAAAAAAAAAATATATATATTATATATATATATATATACACACACACAAACACAAGCTAGGTATGTACAAGCTATTATATATATATATATATATATATATATATATATATATATATATATATATATTAGGGATGGGGCCGATCCGATCCAGTATCGGTATTGGGACCGATACCAGCGTAATTCACGTATCGGATTTTTCCGATCCAACCTGCGGAGAAATCCGATATTTATGATCCATGTCTGAGCTTTAATGCCTAGTTCACACTACATGATTTTAAAATGTCGGGCTGAACTGTGCAGTTCACACTAAATGACTTGCTCTCAGTGAAATCATGAGTGTTCAAGTTGTTTAGCTGTTCACACCACACAACACAACGTGATTGATCCACAACAGGACGTAACTCACTACACGAGTTAACAACGCACTACACAGAGATACAACCACGATCGGATGATAAGAGCATATCATTTGTGACTCAATGAGAGCTGTTTCAGTACTATAGTACGGTCTAAATCCTGAAAATAATCAAACAAATAACGAGTTGACAACAACACGATTCTATCTGGTCTAGAAACCATGTTTTGTCACGAAAAACCACGCAATAAAACGAACCAGAAATGACGCGAAACTGCAGAGAAGAACACAACACGCGAATATGGACGTCAGACAGAAACTAGTGCTGCACACTGTTTGCTCGACGATCTGCTCTGAGAAAAAAAATGCAAAAAAGAAAAAGTAAGATTTACCTGGTGTCCTCAACCCATGCGTTGCTATGATTGGCTGTACTCATGACATCACTGAGATTGAGTCGCGCGACTGCTCGAGATATCTAGCATGCTAGATACTCGTTTTCTGAGCTCGGTGACCTGTCTGCGAGGTGTCTGCGAGCTGTCTTTGATGCGTTGTTGGCTCTTTCACACTATCGGATTGGCGAGCGTTAATCGTCCGCTAATCGCCCGCGATTTGCACGCGATAACACCCTGACTTGTCGGCGACTCAACGATTTGCAAATCGGGCTTAAATCGGGCTTAAAATAACGTAGTGTGAACTAGGCTTAACGTTGTCTGCTGAAATGACTGCAAAAGGGATTCCCCGGGCCTGATAGTCTGCTAGCTGGCTGCAAACTGTGGAATGGATATTCTGAACGGAGGTGCAGCTCAATCATAGACTGTAAAAAATAGGGCTCAATGAGACACACAGACCCCCACTCAGGAAATCCATTCCGCAGTTTGCAGCCAGCTAGCAGGATAGGATTGAGCTACCAACATGTTCGCTGTGTGGAAATACTTCACACTGGAAACACCCCAGCAGAGCAAGACCGCAAAATGCAATGTTTGCAAAGCCGTATAAATTAAACTATTTGTCTGTGTCTGTGATGCATGTTTGCAATTCGCAGTCCAGAAGAGAAAGAGAGAGATCTCTCACGCAGTCCCACAGCACGCACAACACGACAGACCTGCTTAATGAGTGACGACAGAGGAAACGTAGCCTGGTTATATCTATGATATTAGTCTGATTTCCAAAGATTAAAGAATATATTGAGGTAAAAAACCATTAAAAACAATAGCCGCATTCTGTCTAGCCAACTTTCTTCCCATCGCGGCGGTGCGCTGTCATTTCTCCTTAATACTAAAACTTTAAGACAGAATCAGCACGATCTGTGATTGTTATAAAATGCAGGCTCTGCTGTTGCTAAATTGCGGGACACTTTTAATAATAAAGAGAGCTTAAAAGCACAAAATTTGCGCAAGAAATGCGCGCGCGCTCCGAAACAGACGGCAACAAGACAAGCAAATTATAATCTGGGCTTCATATGCGCGTCTAAACGATCAAATGTAGCCTGCACAAGAAAAATGTCAAACCGACCGGCTTGGATATTAACACTTAAACCGTTTATGTCTAAAATGAACGTAGTTATGGAAGTAGTTGGGAGAAAATATGGTGCATCAGTAGATATGAAATCTGAACTCGTTCTTAAAGAGGCAGCAGTATAAATGTGACGATTGCGACATTACTGAGAGTCAAACAACAAAAGGCAAAGAGAAAATCACTCACAGCTCTTGAATGAATTACTTCAGCTTTAATAAGCATAAATCTATCTATGGTAAGCTTTGCAGTGCTATTTTACTTTGATTACTTTATTATAATTCTTTTAGACCACCTGAATAATGTTAGTAGACCTTCCTNAAATGGCTTAAATGATCTAGTCGACTAGAAAACTAGGACTCATTTTGAGGAATGAATGAACATAATAAACCTCTGTTCAGAGTGCCGCGTGCTGGATTGCGTGGAGCGCTCATTTGAATTTTGAGGATTATCGTGTTTAGGCTAAAACAGGGCTGGCGCTTATCGCGGCTTTGGAAAGAAACTGTATCTTGCAGTACATTTTAAACAAGAAATATAGCGATTTGGCATGAAACGTTGATGGAGCAGTGAAAGGGTTCTGTCCACAGCAGAATGACACGACAAACTCATTTTTTTTAAAAATGGCGTTTATCGCTTTTTGGAAAAGAGCTCTTCACATTTTCTAAAAGTATACTAAAGTTCACCAAAAATCTCAAAAGTTTGCACAAATCATGACTAGATCATGTAGTAACACTTCAGTAATTACTAGTTAGTTCCAATGATCTTTATAATATGGATCCAAATAATTAGTAAGTAATAGCTCACAGATGAAAGTGTTACTAGATACTTCTGTGGGAATTACTAATTATTTGGATTTCATCTGTGAGCTATTACTTACTAATTCGTTAATAATAATTTATTTTAGTTAGTAGTAGTTACTAGATTGTTAATAAACTTTTTTAGTAGTTCTCTGGGAAGTATTAAAAAATAGTAGTTATTGATTACTTAATAGTGAACTACCACTTTCGTCTGTGTGCTATTACTTACTAGTTCGTTAATCAGAGTTTCTTGTTAGTTTATAATAGTTACTAGATTGTTAATATTGTGTTACTCATTAGTTCTTGTGTAGTTATTCATTAATGAAGGAACCGTATTCTAAAGTGTTACCAGTTACACTAATGGCAGTGTGGTTGAGACGGAGGTGTCAGAACTGCAACTGACAGAATGCACGATATTTCTACAAAAGCAGTCAGCAGCTTGATTGGAGCAAGAATCATAGTGCAAATTTGAACTATATCGATATATCGCCCAGCCCTGGTGACCTGTGATGTTCTTGTCAACTGACGACAATACTCAGCGCGAGAGCGACTGATACGAAATTGAGCAGGTGAACAGGCTGAACCAATTAGACATTCTCTCTATAGACATTTCACAAGATGTAAACAACACTGGTCCAGAAGCACTTCCTGTTTCAGTTTGTAACTGCTTTCTTTATTCACATGTAAAGAAAACATCTTAAAATGTTTAACTTTTGATTCAGTTTTACATGTTCTGCTGGTTGTATTTTATCCCAGCTTTTATGTAGTGTTAAAAAACTGAAACAGGAGTGCTTCTGGACCAGTGTTGTTTATCATCTTGTGTGAAATGGTCTATATACGTCCTTGTTGATACTTTGAAAGGAACTTTCTGTACGTCAGCCAGTTATGGGTTATGTGCTCTTATTCTCTTCTTTTCAGTCCGGCTGCCGACACCAGTCCCCCTCTTCTTTTTTTTTTTTTTTTTTTTTTAACAGATCTGCATGATTCACGTAGGTCACATTTTCAGGTCAGAAAATCCGGAATTCCGGATTAATCCGGAAAAATCACATCCCTGATCAATAAAATAGTAAATTAAAATCCTCTGGGGGTGGATGGGACTAAACGTGATAAACCAATCAGCCAAGGTCCAATATTCAAGCAATGTCTGCCTGTGCGTTGACTGCCTCGGAGAATGGAAAATTAGAATAACTTGTGCAAGTGTCCATAGCAAAGGATGGGGCTGGTGATTGATTTCTGGTAATTAAAGGGATAGTTTACTTTGAAATTTATTTTTGATATGTTTTCGCTTACCTCAAGGGCATCCAAGATGTAGGCGTCTTTGTTTCCACAGTATTTTCAATTTTGACATTTTGCCATCATCATTCTGCCAGTCATATAATGGAGGTCTATGGTCACCACCTCAAAGAGCATGCACAGAGAAGTCCAAAGGCAAGGCAAGGCAAGGCACTTTTATTTATAAAGCACATTTAAAACAGCCACTGCTGACCAAAGTGCTGTACAGTCAGTTCAAAAAATAAGAAATACATAAATACTCCAACCAACATAAACATAACATAAGCACATCATAAAGCAAATCATAAAATTACATTTGACCAAACGCCAAAGAGAAAAAATAAGTCTTTAGTGATGATTTAAAACTATCAACAGTGGGAGACAGCCTTACATGATCCGGCAAATCATTCCACAAACGTGGAGCAGCGACCGAAAAAGCACGATCCCCTTTTAATTTCAGTCTAGATCGTGGCATAGTAAGCATCAACTTGTTCGATGACCTTAAAGGTCTAGAACACTTCCTGTGGAGAAGGTCCACAATGTATTGAGGCGCCTGACCATTTAACCCCTTAAACACATATAATAATACCTTGAACTTGACACGGTATTCGATTGGCAACCAGTGAAGCGAAGCAAGAACAGGCGAAATATGTTCCCTCTTTCGAGTACCAGTAAGAAGCCTGGCGGCAGCGTTTTGTACCATTTGTAGGCGGGATAAGGAAGACTTAGCCACCCCAAGGTACAGCGAGTTACAATAATCCAGCCTAGATGTAATGAAGGCATGGATCACTATCTCTAAATCTTTTACTGTTAAAAATACTTTTAATTTCGCAATAGATCTCAAATAATAAAAGCTACTCTTCACCACTGAGTTAATTTGTTTGTCAAATTTAAGACCGTTATCAAAAATCACCCCCAAATTCTTAGTATGAGCACAAGAGTTCCCTCTTAAAGGACCCAGTTGTTTTTCAATCTGTAAAGTAGAAGTTGGTGAGCCAAAAATTACAATTTCGGTTTTAGAATCATTCAGTGTTAAAAAATTAGCTGCCAGCCAGCCTCTTACCTCCTCAAGACAGTTCAACAAAGCACTAATGTCATAATTGTCCTTATTTCCTAAGGGGAGATAGACCTGAGTATCATCTGCATAAAAGTGATATGGAATATTATGCTTTTGAAAGATCGAGCCTAAGGGGAGCAAATACAATGAAAACAACAGCGGACCCAAAATAGACCCCTGAGGTACACCACAAGTTAATGGTGCAGAGGAGGAAGAAAAATTCCCAACCTCCACAGAAAATGTTCCATCAGAAAGATACGATTTAAGCCAATTAAATGCGGTACCTTGAATTCCAACACAGTTTTCCAACCGTTCCAGCAAGATAGCATGGTCAACGGTATCGAATGCAGCACTGAGGTCCAAAAGAAACAAAATTGCACAGTTACCTGTCCACAGCAAGCAATAGATCATTCAACACCTTCAGCAAGGCTGACTCTGTACTGTGATATTGTCTAAAACCAGACTGAAATTTGTCTAATAAGTTATTCTCATTTAAAAATGCCGTCAATTGATGGAAAACGGCCTTTTCCATTACTTTTGATAAAAATGATCATTTTGAAATTGGACAATAGTTATCCAAAATATAAGGATCAGAACTTGCTTTTTTGCGGAGAGGGTTCACTACTGCATGTTTCATGATTGCTGGGACGGTACCTCGAGAAAGGCTGCTGTTTCTAATAGTTAAAACAAAAGGTTCAACTACACATAGGACTTCCCTAAAAAGACGAGGAGGCATCACATCCAAGGAACAAGAGGAAAGCTTCATTTTATTGATAAGCTCAACAAGAAAAGTAGAAGAAATAGGCTCAAACTCAGTTAAACAGGCTGAAGATAGCTCGTTAACAGGTGTATTTAAATCAAATTTGGGGATGCAGGAGCGAATAATACTAATTTTATCCATATAATTTTATCCAAATTAAACATGATTTAATGACTCGTAAATGTAAGTACACATTGATGGCCTAACACACGAAATGAGCGGTTTGTGAGAGAAAACAAACAGTATTTATATCGTTTTTACCTCGTGTAGCCACAGCCATGTCCAACTGAACCGAACTGAACCGTGTCCAACGTCCCGCCGGAAGTGATTGCTTTCGTGTGTACGTCACTCATTGTTTACACAGAGATTTCGGAAGTTTTACCTTTCACTGTGAAGATCTAAACATATTTAGATGTACAGAAAATAGCAATGGAAGACGATTTTGATATATCTAAATATGTTTAGTGAAAGGTAAAACTCCTGAAATCTCTGTGTAAACAATGAGTGACATACACACGCAAATGATCACTTCTGGCGGGACGTTGGACACGGTTCAGTTCAGTTCAGTTGGACATGGCTGTATTATATGACTGATAGACAACAACGGTTTGACCGAAAAATATTAAAATTTAAACTACTGTGGAAACAAAGACACCTACATCTCGGATGCCCTTGAGGTAAGCTAAAACATATCAAAAATTAATTTTAAAGTGAAATATCCCTTTAACAATTACAAAATAACAGGACAGAGATGGGAATGAGGGAATGGTTAATTTATTTGTATGCACTGCAAGTTGTACTCACATCAGACATAAGCATCCAGAACCTTCCCCACTCCTGGTGTCTTCTGCTGTTGGAAGTACTATGATGTTCTGACTCCTGTTGTCTACGGCATCTGGCAGCTTCTCCTGGATAGGAATTCGGTCAGCTCACTGAAATGCGAGAACAGGCCCATGACGCGCTTTACGTCAATAACAGGACAAATACATACAAAGAAACATAACTACTTGTATAGGTAGTTTATTTAAGTTCAAACCTATTTGACAACATATTACCACAAAAATAAGTAAATCAACAGACCACAGAGCAGACCTCGCTCGCTCGCTCGCACTCACTCTTTTTCTCTCGTGTTCACCCTCATCACTCTGCATAACGGTTTTAAAAACAAACAACAACAATAAATAAATGTTGTGTGCTGATCAAGAGTTTTGTGCAAGCAATTTAAGGTCGCGACGCTTGTCCCATAACGTTAGCTGGCTTCATTCGGTGATTGAAATAAATATTATTAACATTAATTCAAGTTTTGCAGTATAGAGAAACGATTGAACGCTCCGAGCGAGCTTGTAACTTTTTCTTGGCATGAAACAGTAAATAACCAAACCAGTGGAAGCCTGCAGTGCATGAAACTGTTGTAACTAACTTAATCAAACCTATCATGCAATAACTAAAGCCTAGTTCACACTACATGATTTTAAAATGTCGGGCTGAACTGTGCAGTTTACACTACATGACTTGCTCTCAGTGAAATCATGAGTGTTCAAGTTGTTTAGCTGTTCACACCACACAACACAACGTGATTGATCCACAACAGGAGGCAACTCACTACACGAGTTGACAACGCACTACATAGAGATACAACCACGATCGGATGATAAGAGCATATCATTTGTGACTCAATTAGAGCTGTTTCAGTACTATAGTACGGTCTAAATCCTGAAAATAATCAAACAAATAACGAGTTGACAACAACACGATTCTATCTGGTCTAGAAACCATGTTTTGCCACGAAAAACCACGCAATAAAACGAACCAGAAATGACGCGAAACTGCAGAGAAGAACACAACACGCGAATATGGACGTCAGACAGAAACTAGTGCTGCACACTGTTTGCTCGACGATCTGCTCTGAGAAAAAAAAATGCAAAAAAGAAAACAAAAAGTAAGATTTACCTGGTGTCCTCAACCCATGCGTTGCTATGATTGGCTGTACTCATGACATCACTGAGATTGAGTCGCGCGACTGCTCGAGATATCTAGCATGCTAGATATTTTTCTGAGCTCGGTGACCTGTCTGCGAGCTGTCTTTGATGCGTTGTAGGCTCTTTCACACTAACGGATTGGCGAGCGTTAATCGTCCGCTAATCGCCCGCGATTTGCACGCGATAACACCCTGACTTGTCGGCGACTCAACGATTTGCAAATCGGGCTTAAATCGGGCTTAAAATCACGTAGTGTGAACTAGGCTTAAGTTATACCCAGTCTATGGTAGGATACCAGGCAACAGCACGCCGCGCCCAGTCGGAAAGCAGACAGCCGCGCTACCGCGGGGGTGTTTTTCCACATTCGAATATTCATTTTCAGTTTTTAAAACTTTTTGAATATATATATTCGAATTTAGAATATTCTTTGACAGCCCTAAATGAGATTCGAGTTAGCTAGCCAATCCATCCAAACAGTGAAAGAACCATATTGACGTTAACGTTACTTCAGGCAGATTAAAATAGCATCAATTTGTGAAGAACAAGGTTGCAAATGTTAGCAATTACCAGTAACGTTACGTACCCGATTTCAATGGACTGATGGAAGAATAAATGTTATCTAATCAAAGCAGACGAAACCGTCACCATCCACTCAGATAACGAGAACTAATAACGTTTTATTTACGCTATAAAAATACATGTGTAACGGTAACAGTAAATTACATAACGTGAAGATAACTTACCTTCGTCCCAGAATTGCTTCTTTTCCGTCTTCTTGAATGACGGCTTACTCCCAGAATGTACGTTTAGAACTAACCGCCTAAAAATTCAAAATTCAGACCGCGAAGATCCCATGATGCAACGCGGTGGCTGTAAAACCATTGTAAAACTCCGTGAATTCAGTGAAATTACAATAATAATACAGGACTGTCCATTAATTTCCCATGGTGCATTGCCTTTTACAGGTAAAACGCAAATACAATACATTGTTGTAAAATTTCCTGTAAAAATCAATTGCTAACAGTGTACCCAGCTAACAAAATTACGTCCCCAGAACGTCCCCTGAACGTCCACTGCGAACGTCCCCTGAACAGTCTCAATGTTTCCCGGAATCCATTTCGGTCCATAGCTAAAGTTGCGAACCAGCACTGGATATCCCACACAAAAACTACGTTCATGGGCCTTCTTGTCATGATATGCTTTTTGCTTTTGTTGTTGGTTTTTAATCTTCCTAGTCAAATCAGGATGCAAAAAGTCCAGAGAGCACCGCAATTTTCGTCCTTGTAACATTTCAGCGGGAGAGAGACCGGTGGTAGTCTGGGGAGTAATCCTATAGCTGAACAACACTCGGGCCAATTTAGTTGCAATTGATCCGTCAACACATTTTTTTAACATGCCTTTAATAATTTGTACGGCCCGCTCCACTAACCCATTACTCGAAGCATGATAAGGTGCAGAGGTAACATGCTGTACTCCATTTTTGTTCAGGAACTCTTTAACTTCAGCACTAACAAAACAAGTAGCATTGTCTGATACAATAAGTTCTGGTAGTCCCTGATTACTGAAACTTTTACGCAAACATTCAATGGTGGCAGCAGATGTGGCTGTTCACGGGATACACATCCATCCATTTCGAATGTGCATCAATTAAGACCAAGAACATTTTTCCCATGAATGGTCCAGCATAATCCACATGCAATCTTTGCCATGGTTTCTCTGGCCAATTCCACGGATGCAGTGGGGCTACAGCTGGAACGTTCCTGTGCTCTTGGCACAGGTGACAAGTTTTAACCAACCTCTCTACATCTTGATCTAACTTGGGCCACCACACATAACTCCAGGCCATAGCTTTCATCCTGCACACTCCTGGATGGCACTGATGCAGTTGTTTCAAGACTTCTGATCTACCCACACTGGGAATGATGACTCTGGCCCCCCAGAGCACACAACCATCCTGTACACTTAATTCATCTTTTCTTGATGTAAAAGGATCAAACTCTGTTCCAATTAACTCATGCCCACCATGTTGCACCATTTCTCTCACTCGAGATAATATCGGATCTTTCTGCGTCCACCCTCTCACTTGTTCTGCAGTTATCAAGGTTATGTCTGCATTCTCCAGCATCAGAACTCTTTCCTCCTGTTCCATGTCTGGTTCTGTTGACAATGGTAACCGACTTAAAGCATCTGCATTTCCATGATCTTTACCTGGCTTGTAGATGATGTTGTACTCATAGGCTCTCAGTGTCACAGCCCATCGCTGGATCCTAGGAGATGACATTTGGGGAACAGCTTTTAATTCATTAAATAAGGACAACAAGGGCTTATGGTCCGTAACGATGGTAAACTTCCGACCATACAAATACTTGTGGAAGCGCTGCAAACCGAACATAATGGCCAACCCTTCCTTGTCCAACTGTGAATAATTCCGCTCAGCCTGATTCAAAGTCCTTGACATAAATCCAATGGGTCTCTCACTACCATCTGGCATCTTATGTGAAAGAACTGCACCTAGGCCATAAGGAGAAGCATCACAGGATAAAATCACATCCTTCTGGGGGTCATAATGAACCAGAACTTGAACTGAGTTGATCATTTCCTTGGACTGAGCAAAAGCAGCTTCTTGTTCCCCCTCCCAGTTCCATTTTTCATCTTTTCGCAGCAGTTTGTGCACAGGGGCTAAAATGGTAGACAAGTTGGGTAAGAACTTATTATAGTAATTTAACAGTCCCAAATAGGCCTTTAACTCTGTCACATTCTTTGGTGCGGGAGCATTCTGAAGGGCAGTTACCTTTTCTGGTACTGGATGGAGGCCAGTCTCATCTACTTTATGGCCCAAAAATGTTACCTCTTTCTCCATGAAGGAACATTTGCTCCGTTTCAATCGCAGTCCTGCTTCCTGCAATCTTCTCAATACCCTTGCGAGTGTTTGGAGATGCTCCTCATCATTACGACCAGTCACCAGGATGTCGTCCAGGAAAACCGCCACATACGGAATACCTTGCAGTACACCCTCAATGGTCCTCTGGAAGATGGCAGGACTAGAAGAAACTCCAAAAGGCAATCTGGTGGTAAGCATGGCTCATATCCAGGTTGGTAAACTTTTGCCCACCTGACAATGTTGCAAACAAATCGTCTATTCGAGGAATGGGATATTGTTCCAACTTTGAAACTCTATTCACTGTTAGCTTATAGTCACCACATAGTCGCACAGTGTTATCCGATTCTAAAACCGGCACTACAGGGGCAGCCCATTCAGAGTGTTTAACCGGTTCTATGATTTTTTCTTTCAACAGGCGTTCTATTTCAGCTTCTACCTTTGTCTTCATAGCATAAGGAACGGGTCTGGCTTTGAAAAATCTGGGGACCGCTTCCTTGTCCACATAAATTTTGGCCGGTGGACCTCTCAATTCACCCAATTCCTCTTTAAACAACTCTGAATGTTGGCTAAGCACTTCAGTCAAGGTTATATTTTCCATCCCTTGAATCTTATGTATGGCTTCCCATTCCATGCCAAATTCTTTAATCCATCCTCTACCCAATAGATTGGGTCCTGTTCCAGGTACTACCACTACTGGTAACTTCTTCAAGACTCCTTTGTGTCTAACTTCCACCTGCGCAGAACCCAACACTGCTAAGGTTTGACCAGTATAGGTTTTCAACTTCAAAGAACAGGTCTTTAATTCTGGAATTTTATGCTTTGTCCATAATTTGGAAAAATTGGACCCATTCATCACAGTCACACCACAACCGGTATCCACTTCGAAAGGTATGCTTGACTCGTTAACCGCCAATGTAATAGTCAGTGGAGCAACCTTCGGAATCTCGGTTTCTTTGAAACTGTGAACTGTAAAAATACCCTCTTCATCAGATGCACTTTTGTCCTCTCTGCCCACATAATACGATCTCTGTCCTCCTCTTGTCACAGCTCTCTTACGTCTTTCTCCCCCTTGAAAGTTTGTGTCTCTGCTCGAACTTTTTGATTTGCAGACTTTCATTATGTGCCCTTGTTTCCCACATTGGTGACATTTCTCAGAAACAAATCTACACTCATTGGCCAAATGTTGCAAACTTCCACATCTATAACATGCTCTGCCTTGACTTTCTTCTTGCTTCACTGATGTTTTATGCACTCTCATGGACATGGATGTTTCTGAGCGTTTAACTTGCAAATCCCTCACATCCTTATTGGCCGTTTCCATTGCTTGACCTACTTTCAAAGCCTTTTCAAAAGTTAGATCCGCTTCTGCCAACAGTCTACGTTGAATCCGATCATCATTTATGCCACATACCAGTCTATCCCGAAGCATTTCTGTCAACTTTTCTCCATAGTTACAATCATGAGCCAATTTCCTCAATACTGCTACATATTCAAGTACAGTTTCCCCCTCTTCTCTTGACCTTGAATTGAATTTAAACCGTTGCACAATTTCACTAGGTTTTGGGTTGAAGTGCTCTTTAAGCAATTCTACTAATTCACCAAATGTCTTTGTTCCTGGTTTAACTGGGCTCAGCAAATTCCTCAGTAGACTGTATGTTTGACTTCCTACAGTGCTCAACAATATAGCTCTTTGTTTGTCTGCTTCTGTAATTTCATTTGCCTCGAAGAAATGCTGCGAGATCTCACAATATTCCTCCCAAGACTGAGATTGACTATCAAAAGGTGAGACTGTTCCTACCATGTTGGCCATCTTCTTTTCCCAAGCTCCAACTTGTATGGAATAAACTTATTCACCTTCCAACACTTTTTTTTTTCTTCAAGGCGTTTCTTTCCTTGCTTTCATCCTTGTCGCCAAAATGTAATAACTTGCAGGAGACAAATCCGTTCAATGCAGTTCATTTACTCAAAGCACATCAAGCCAGCAGTACACTTGAGCACAGTCCAGGGGTGCTTCTCAATATCCCTCCTCGTCTCCTCGCTCCTCCGTCCTCCCTCCTATGACCCGGAAACCGATCGAGCTCAGCCATCTTGAAGGACATCTCAATTCTCTAATTGCACCGTGAGGAGTCGAGGATCGAGGAGATAGGAGGCTTCCTGAGGAGTCATAAGCGAGGATACACAGGTGCATCCTACGCGGAACTGTTATATTGACTAAACGTGACGCACGTGTCAATTCTCCTCCCACTTTACATCGGTCACAATCATTTTAATTTATACTTTACCTTTGCAGTTTATATAAACCACACATCTCAGATATTTCAACAGTATAGCATATCTTTATTATTATTTATTATGAATTTATTAAATAACCAAACTTCAACATCATAAGGGCAGATCCTTTTAGCGCTGCTGATGACACTGTGGAGTGACGCTCGAGTGACCAAGAATTCCAATGTATATAAAAAAGCTTTTATTCGATTCCTCTGTCCTCCTTTCCTTTCCTCGCTTCCTTCCCTCGCGTCCTACAGGGGGTGGAGCTGAGACGCAAGGAAAGGAAGCAAGGGAAGGAAACGAGGATGCACAAATAAGAAATGAGAAGCACCCCAGGTGGAACACATGTCTGCTAACAGTTTCTTCTTTGATACTCTTAAGCACAAAGCCAAAATACATTAGATTGCCCCCTACAGGTTAATCTACAAAAACTCACTCTACAACACCTCGTTTTTCGAGACAGCGCCTCCTATCAAATTGTATCGGATAACATGTGAAGAACTTAGGCCAAAAAGTGAGTAGGCTACCTATCTTCAATTTTATTTAGCGAATCGTAGTAGCCTCGTTTGATTTATTTTTTTATAAAACTAATTTAGCTCGTCGATACAACATTATGAATAGTCCATTTAATATTTGTAAAGATAGTTTGTAACAAGATTTGAGCCGTTAATGTATGTTTTTTTCACCCTCTTCCCCCCGAAAACATTTTGATGGCTAGCGTTAGCCTTTATCCTTG